ATTTTCAAATAAATACCAAAAACTCTAAACTTAATTAATGTATAAAATTATTTGATTTTATTTTAGGATTTCAAAATTTTAAAAATTAAAGCAAAAAAAAACCCAAAATCACAATTATATTAAACGAAACTTTAAGGTTAACTTTTAAGTTTTAAATTAAATTTTAATTAAATAAAATGATATCATTTAAAAAATATTAATTTATTAAATAACAAACATTAATAAAATTATTATTCATCAATTATTTATTCTAGTTAACAACTATTTTTAATAATTAAATTAAATTAAATTAATTTTTAAAAAAATAATATATAAAAAATTATGTAATCATAATAGTTTTAACCGTAGCAGTAACCTCGGCCGCCATCATCTTCAACATCTATCTTTTCTTTTCTTTGTTGCTTTTGTTGTCCAAACTTTTCCTCGCATCTTTGGAGCTGGTGAATATTGTATGGTATTGTTGTTTGTTGACGCTGAATTTTTCAATTCCAAATAAATTGTGTTAATGGCCTTTCAATACTTGCATTCTTAACTTCCTCGAATGCACTAGGCCTTAAAGTTAGATTGGGACGGGCATCCCTTTATCCTTGATAGGTGAAATAGGATCATGTTGTTGAAAGTTATTATAGTTATATATAGGTGAAATAGAATCATGTTGTTGAAAGTTATTACAGTAATATAACTGGTCCATAATCATAATAAAAGCTAAGAGGCCCAGATACAAAGAGGGCATGTGCCCCACACCTCCCCCTGCGGGTCGAAAATTCCCCACGCCAAGGTAAGGAGCCCCCTTTTAGCACTCCTTACCCTATCATATTTCTTCTCTTTTTAGCCTTAATTAAGAATAGACAGGACGGAGCTAATTTAGGATAAGGGGGGCAGCCACCCCCCTAAGCTTTTGTAAAATGTTCAACATGATACACTAATTTTTACTTTTTTTACAAAATTTAATATTTGGAGTTAATCCCAATTATAGGGAGTATTTAAATATAAAAAAATATTTAAGACCTGAGTAAAGGGAGCATTTTTCTTTGTATGACTAATTTTTATAGAGACATGATAATTTGATTTACGTAAAAATAAATAAGATCTAGTTATTTTGAGATAAATTTATATAATTTTTTACATTAGTTGTATATGATTTTTTGGTATGATTTATATTCTATTAAACCAAAGTTCATTTGATATATATGACCTTACCAAAAAAAAATATTTTTATATTATTTATTTAACAGTTTTAAATTCTATGTTATTTTAAAATAATTAAATATATCTAGTTAATATAAAATTTGTTGTAGATGATATAAGTGATATATAAATAGTAATTGATTTAAAACTAATATAAATTATATTAATATAAACTATTAAGGCTTCA